CCATAACGTGATGGCTGGCTCCGCCCATTGTTGTCCTTCAATGACAGCCCAGCGTCTTCGAGGACACTGGACTGTCATTCCATGACAACAGCTGGGCGGAGCCAGCTATGATGTCACGGCTGGTTTCGCCCATGTGTTTTGACTTGTCCGGGACCTATGGGCAGACTGTCAGGTGCCGGACAAATGTAAACAGTTGGGCGGAGCTAGCAGTGATCTCACAGCTAGCTCCACCCAACTGTTTATATGTTGCCGGCATCTGTCAGAATGCCATTCTGCGGCGGGAGTTTGTTGCGTATTATTAAAAAAAAAATTATTTTGGCGAGTCGTCATCGTGGACGATGCTGGACATTGTGATTGACCCTGCATTACGTCGGTGGATACATTTTTTTTGGGGGGGCGAGTCGTCATTGCGGACGACTGGATTCGATTTTTATTTATTTTTACATTCATTTAAATCATTTTTAAACTCATTTTTTTAAATTCGTTTCTATTCTGCTCGCTACCTCAGAGGTAGCGAGCAGAATAGCCAAGCCGAATGCCGCTCGGAGGCATTCGGCTATTCACTCACTGCTGTTCAGCCCCTGTGAGAATAGGGACGAACGAGAGCGAGAGAACTGCCAGAGCTTCGGCTCAATCCAGATGTTGGACCAGCTGAGTTGAACTCCTTCTACACTTTGTCTGAGCCCAGGCCGCCCTAACCCCATCTTGTGACTAGACTCTTAAAGTAGAAATGAATGGCAACGCAAGCGCATTTCAGTGTCTGCAACCCCCCCTGCCAATCCCTACACTGGCTTCCAATAGCCCAAAGGATAAAATTCAAAATATTAACAATGACTACAAAGCCATCCACAACTCTGCCTCTGGCTATATCTCAAACCTTGTCTCAAAGTACCACCCTAAACGTCCCCTCCGCTCTTCCAAAGACTTCCTGCTTTCCATCTCCCTCATAATCTCCTCCCATGCTTGCCTCCAGGACTTCTCTAGAGTCTCTCCTATCCTCTGGAACTTTTTACCCCAACCTGTCCGACTGTCTCCCACTCTGACTGCCTTTAGGCGATCCCTTAAGACTCATCTCTTCAAAGAAGCCTATCCCAACTCAACCTAATCACTGAACTATCACTTTCTCAAACAATTCATCCCCACACAGCAACCTCCTCATGTATCTCTTGCCCCTCCCTTTTAGATTGTAAGCCCTCACGGGCAGGGCCCACCTTACCATCTTGTCTTGAATTGTATTGTGATTGTTATGTCTTCCTCACATTGTAAATCGCTGCGCAAACTGTTGGCGCTATATAAATCCTGTATAATAATAATATGCTAATATGCACTTTTGTACCTGGTATGACTTGCTCCTGAAGGATGAATGATTAGTGAAAGAACCAATTATATAAAATTCACTGTTGCCATTATGGTAACTGTCTCATCTACAGTTATGAATGTGAGAGTAAATCCTCCTGGCATGTAACGGATTTTGAAACATCTTTAATGAGGAGCAATATTATTTTTTTCCTACAGGAAATTGGGTGACTTGTTTCATTAAGGGATTTCTGTGTGTGACCTTGACGATTGAGTTGGGAATGTTATTTCTTGTCAAGGTCTTTAAATGTCATGATGTATGTATGGAAACACGGCTCATTAGCTGACACTGTTACTATAAAATGTTGATCTTTCTTTGTACATGCATACTATTCATTTTCACAAAAAATACTAATGTTTTTCTTATTAGTATGATGACTACACAGAGTATTGAGTCTCCACCTGAAAACAAACCACAGACTGTACTATCGTAAACAATGTTTATAATTGATTATATTATATAATTGATTATATGTGTTGCATTACTGTCAACTGTATTATATTTTCTTTCTTCTGAGCTCTTTTGAGGGGGCAGAGACCAATGTCAGTGGTCCTGTGTAATCTGTAAAGAAGCCTTTCTATATATTTTTTATTCCTGAGGAACCCTTGAAAAAATGTTCATGGTATCAAGGAATCCCTGCTTAAAATTAATATATCCACAACTCATGGTACATAAAAATGTCAGTAATTTGTAAGTTTTCAATAAAGTAATAAGGAATGTAGCATACCTAGAGTATTTCACACCTTATTGGTTCATTTTGTAACACACCCCTGCTCTATGTAACAAAAAAATTTTCAGTAATAATGACAAAATGATTAATAATATCCCCAAAAAATTTGTTTTTGCGAATGACCGAATGAGTTTCTATTCTAAAATCACCATGTAGGTAGTCATGTGTCTGGACACTGAATATGCTCCTTACTGTCTCAGGTAAATGACTCATCAAGTACAGAATCAAGTGTGAGGGCCATTCACACCACATCCATATCATCTCTAGACCAGACCTTGACCAGATTTTTTTCCGGACCCAAAATGCATCCTAATGTATCCCTATGCTATTTCCGGCTACTGTTCACACCAGTGCAGCCCATTCCAGACCAGGAAAATACAGCTTGTCTTATTTTGTCTGGTCTGGAATGCACTGCATGGAAACGCATTGTAATGCACCTGGAAGCCCATTTTAAGCTAAAAAAGCAAAGCAAACCCAGCTCCGGAACGCGGCAAAATTGTGGCAAAATCACTGCAAAACGCAATGCACTGCGTTCCAGATCTGGGCCGGAAAATGGTGTGAACCTGCCCTTAGAATGACAGCTCTGTAGCAGAAACAACAAGCAAAGGCAGCTCTAATATTCCCATCCTGACTGGTTCTTTTTAAGAAACATTTGGTTATAGTGTGAAAAGCCAGTGATAAATACTGATAACTGTATTTTTATTGCTTTCTAAGCCCCGTGGTAGAACAGATGGTGTTAAAATAACTACACTGCAAAACCTGGTGATGAAGGTATTGAAAATAAAAATTTATTTTCCATGTCTGATTTTTAAAGCAAGTTAGACACGGCAGAATGAGTCATCAGTAAGCAAAAACGGTGTACTTTTATGCATAATTATATTGGTATTAAGGAAATGTTGGCATTCTGAAATATATGCTACAGCTGTTTTGTGCAGTTTAAAGATTCATATACATAAGCTGGGATTATTTTGACTGTTTTGAACAGTTACTATATCATTTTCACAAAACTCACTTTACAGTATGTGTATTACAAACATGCATTACAAAGATAGCATGAGTTATTTTTTGTAGTAACTTTGCAATGCTTTTCCATAGAGGAAAACTAAAGATATGATATACAACATAAATAACAATAAATTGTTGAATCTTTTTAAGCTTTTTTTTGTTGCAAGGTGAACTATTGAGGAATTGGAAGTTCAAGAATGGACTGTAGCAATGTCATAGGCTTGTGGCTAAGAGGCTGGGCTAATGCAGTATCCTTTTAGGTGCAACTAGCTTCGATTTGAGATCAGTTTAAGAGGCTGCTGAGCTTCATCTAAGTGCCTTCACAGTTGCACCTGACCTACAGTTGGCCTATTTCTGACCCGCAGTTGACCTCCGTCTGAATTGCAGTTGACCTCTTTCTAAGCTTTTTAAGCTGTGTATGCTTTCCCACTGACTTTTATGGAGAGAAAGGCAGTTCTGAAAAAGTGTCTTAGAAAGAGTTACATTAATCGAATGCAGACCAAACCAATTGTCTAAGCACCAACAGCTTACATTTAGCAATACACCTAGATATTCTAAGATAATCAATTTCAGTTAAAAACCCTTCAGTACCCTTCGAAATGTCTTTAAATTTGTCAATGTATATAGAATACATTTAACTATAACTTTATACAGACGTCAAGCTGATAGGAAGAGGTAGACTGTGTGATGACATGTTTTGCAGTGTTAGTCACTGCTTCTTCAGGACCAGCAGTGCATCAATCGATTACAAAAAAAAATGGAATATAGATTGGGTTAATGGTGTCTCAATTCCATCAATGCCCCATCCTTCCCATCCATATGCCCCCAATTGAGCAATGAGGGACCATGCCTGGTTGGCACCTCAAGCCGCTCACTAAGAGAGGTACATATATATTTACCATACACATATATTCACCATATACCTGTATGTCCTTATTGGGTAATACCCATATTTTGAGAACCATGAAGTGGAAAGTGAAAACTTGTCTCAAATGATCTCACTAAATATCCACCAGAAGTCAATGACCACAATAAGAAAGGCGAGCACTCTCTCTTAGGTTTTGGCAGAGGTCCTTGGGTTCCCCACACCAGGGAAGATTCTACCAGGGCAGGTCCAAAAATTTTTATTCTGGTGTTACTTATTGATTGACTGATCTAATTATTGCTAACTCAAGACCAGACTAAAGCAGCATCTAAGTGAAAACATTGAGAGAACAGTTTTACCACTTTTCAGTTTCCAGTGTGATTCATTTGTTGTTTCCCAAATTTATATAAGGCAATAGTGGTTGCTTCATAGAAGATATTAGAGATTGTTTAGTTTTCAAATGAGGTTTTAAGAGTTTGCAGAAATTATATAATCGGTAGATTATGATAATTTTATATATTGTAATAGAAGCCATCACGTCTGGGGATCTTATTTAGGACTATGGCTGTTTTTATTGCTGTCTGTATCCCAATTGGGGGGAGGTTGCACTTAATTCCTGTGAGAACAGAAAGTGATGAGAAACCTATCCGATGGGGAAACAGACAAAAACACAATTTTAGTAGAATGATGACTTTCTACTTAAATACACACCATAATGTACTCTCATTTTTTATATGCATATATGATCCAGGTCATTGGCTTAAAGTGTATCTAAGAACAAAAATGTAATATATTGCAGTCTACCAGTCCTTAGATGTGGTGTCTGCATTCATTTTCTTTTCACATTTTTAGCAAGTACAAAAATTACATGTTGATCTTGCCAGAAATGCAGGCCCTTTGTGATACCTGTGTGTACATTTTTTATAACCCCTAATGAACTCCCTGACTGTTCACTTAAAACGTATCAATAATCAGACACCACAATTTGAAGATTCTAATAATAGTTAAGATTTGTAACATTCTTATTTTTGTCTTTTACAGACAATTTGTTGAAATGATGGTCGTGTAGGTCATAGAATATGGCAAACAGGAAACGTCAAAGCACCGCGGCCAGCATGCTGGACCAAAGACCAAGATCCTGCCCTTCCTCTCCTCATATTGGCAGCCGTGATAATGAGGACTCTGTATACGAGGAGCCTGTGGTGCATGAGTACACTAATACACAGATACCCAGCATGCACACTACAACCAGCCAGGAGGAACAAGACTGTAATGACAACAGCGGTGATGGGGATTCAAGTTCTGACTATGTAAATAACACTTCAGATGAGGAGTACGATGAAGGGCTTCCGGATGAAGAGGAGGGAATCACATATTATATACGGTATTGTCCTGAAGATGATAGTTACCTGGAAGGTATGGACTGCAATGGGGAGGAGTATATCCACAATGAGGAGCGCCATATAGAGACAGATGAATGTGTTGAAGCAGTGGAAGAGGAATGGACAGAATCCAAGATTCAGCAGCAAGAATGTACTGATGAAGAAATAGGGCATGAAAGTCAGATTCAAATGTTGGAGGAGGATAATTCATCTTCATTAGAAGTTCAAGAGGAAACAGCTCAATATAGTGAAAATGAAGAAGCATATCAAGACTATTATCCAACAGAAACAAATGGAAATTCACTTCCACAATCCCCATTTCATGCAAGGAAAACTGAGGCAGAAGCAGAAGATCAAGAGGAAGACATTGATCAAATTGTTGCTGAGATTAAAATGAGTATGAGTATGAGCAGCATAAATAGTCCTACTGACATGAGTCCTGAGCACACTGTGCCAGAAGATGTGCCAAATGACCATAAGGAAACATGCCAGAACACAGATGCTGCCCATACTGCTAGCAAACATGAAGGTCGCCCAAAATCTTTAAATATTCCCTCAGCTTCAAAACATGTTGGTGACAGCCAAAGAAATTACAAAGGAAAAGTTCGAACTCCAGAAGAAAGGCAGAAATGGTCCCATGAACAGGTTGGTAATCTTTTTCTAGAAATTATTTTTTATCATACAGTCTTTACTGTATTAGCTGTTTTATAAAACAAGCATTTCAAATGTATATATTTCATTTTGGAATGGACTTTTACTGACATATTCATGTAAAACTTTGCTAACCATTTTCCAAGGATGGATTTAATTAAGATAAACAGGATGGCTGAAATAACTGCTTTTTCTTAAGAAAGTGCTGATCCAGGTTTCCTACAGAGATGACCATATAATCAAAAGCCTAGACCAGGGGTGCCCACAAGGTCGATCGCGATCTACCAGTCGATCGCGTAGCGATCACTGGTAGATCGCCATGTCCTCTCCTCCCGCCGCTTCTCTGGATCCCCGCTGCTCTCCCCAGCGGGGATCCGAGAAGAAGTGAATGAACCGGCAGCGGGGGAGGGCGGAGGATGGAGCCGCTGTCACAGAACTAATGCAGAGCGGTGAGGACATTTGGTCATGAGATTTCTAATAAAGGGGGATAAGAGTTTTGGATCAGCTCGTTCTCCCGTTTAGCAAAGAACATGCAGTGGCGTAACAACCGGGGGGGCGCTAGCCCGAGGGAGGGCGCCATCACCGACCCCCGCTAAACGAAGCCCCTGGCCGCAGATGCAGTGGCTCCCTCTCTCTGCAACATGCACCAGGCTGGCCAGGGAGGGATGTACTGTCACTGGGTGGTGAGGAGACCAGGAGGGATGTACTTTCACTGGGGAGCGGCGATCCGGGCTGGCTGGATCAGGCAGACGTGGCCCTCCAATCAGGCTCTGTAGAGGGCCGCCCGCTGGGGCCTCGGAGGAGCGAGCGGCCGCCTGATGACAGAGCCGCGTCTGATGCAGGCGGGCTGGCCAGCCGGGTGCATGTGCATGAGGGAAGGAGCCACTGCACCTGCGGCCACGGCAGACCCCCCCACAACCAGGGTCCAGGAAGCCCCCACTGACCACCAGGCTAAGGTAAGGTGATACATTTTTTTAAAATAAAATCCGGGGACATTTTTAAATGTCCTCGGGAACATAAAATAAAACTTTTTTTTATTTGTATTACTACTCACCTGATTACTGGATCCAACAAGTGCAACCTACCGTCTCCCACGCTGTTAGAAGTTGCATACAGCGTGTTCTGGTTACTACTTAAACCGACGCGCGCAGTGTGCAGCTTCTGAGAAGATACGCTATTAGTGCAGTGGGAGCGATGCAAAATGCACAGCCGCCTTCCCCGCTATGCTAATAGCGTATCTTCCCAGAAGCTGCACACAGCGCGCACCGGTTTAAGTAGTAACCAGCACACGCTGTATGCAGCTTCTAACAGCGTTGAGAGATGGGAGGCCGCGCTTGTCGGTGGATCCAGGAATCAGGTGAGTATTAGAGAAAAAAAAAGTTTTATTTTATGTTCTATTCTTAGTTCTATAATGGCATAAAATATCAGCTAGGGAACTACAAGTCCCAGCATGCCCTCATTGCCCCTGTACAACAACCAGATATTGCCGTTCCCTGGGTGATATGTGTGTGTGTGTGGGGGGTGTATAGGGACAATGATGGCATGCTTGGACTTGTAGTTCCTTAGCTGATATATATGTGTGGGGTACAGTTCCAGTGGATGTTTATATAATATGGGGGGGGGGGGGGAAAAAAAATTTCTGCCCCGGGCGCCAATAACTCTGGTTACGCCACTGAGAACATGTAATCAAAGTCCTAGGGATTTAGTCATATAGCCCCATTGCAGGGAGCAAAGAGCAGCATTTTCCCTAGGAAAGGTAAGTGTTCATATACATGAATCGGATTCCATACATCCATAGGATGTGTAAAATATCATAAATCTAAATCTAAATAAACAAACGTGATATCATATAAATTCCATAAATATTCAGTCTTTCAATATCCAATATAAGTCCTTAGTGCATCTGCATAAAGTACTATTGTGCATAATCCACAGTGTACAATAAAATCCTCTGAGAACGTGCTCTCGACTCCCAGTGCATAAATAAATGAGAACACACTCTTCAGAAATCCATGGCCTTAATGATCAATAAATACAATGATGGTAAGTGTCCTTTGTGGATGAGATATTCACTCTCCAAGTTTGACAAATCCTCCTTCTCGTGTTAGGTGGGCGATGCCACTCGCTCAGTGGAGGAAAGTATCCAATGTAAGGGAGGAAATAATACACAAAATGGTGAAGTATGTAAAAGTGAATAGATTTATTGCAACAATAAAAAACACTTACAGAAATTCCCAGATTGGGAACGCCATGTAACAAACAATCGATTCCCCCGAATGAACCGGAACCAGAAATTCAACGACTGATTTCCTATGGTATAACCTCAGTATGTGCCCCAATCCTTTCCGACGCGTTTCATCCTTCGACTTCTTCCAGGAAAGGCTGACATCTGCTTTGGGTAAGCCTGTTATAAGTCTTGGCAATTCAAAGCAATAGTTGTATGATAACAAAATAGTTGCTGTCAGTAGAATACTTGTGGCAAATCAATAAATAAAGAGATCAGAGGTATAGTTGCCATGCAATTCAGCCTTTTTGTTGGCCTTTTATTGTGATGGCCTCATTGATCAATAAAGGGAACCTTTATCACTGTTCTCTCTAATTCCTATTGGCCCATGAGGCAACCTATCGAACTAAAGGACAAATAAGGAGGCAAAAAAGTGAAGTGCAAGTTCATTAAGATTTTTCTATATCCTCAGCCTATACCTCCAGATCTACTGATCATTTTACCATGTGCTTAGTTTGTTTTGCAGATCAGTGTCATTGGCAACTTAATTGGCCAATAAAGTCCCAGGCCCATATGAAGTAATTCCTGTGCATAAGAGTTACTTCATCTCAGCACGGCACAGTGTACAGGAAAAATAAATGCTAAGCAGCTAGAAGTTTTTTTATGACAGAAGAGACTTACACAGTCTCTTCTGTCAGAAATCCTGCTGGCAGTTTTTTAACCTAACTTCCACTTTAAGCTAGTTTTGCTGTAATTCTTCCAGTTTACTGTGTGAAGCCATACCTTCCAGCTGCACTTGTTTTGGTACAATAATGCCAAAGTTTAGGCGGAGACATGCCTTAGTTAAAAATTATTTTCTTTATCTTGTTATCATTGGTCACAATGGGCAGATTCGGATGGGGTTTGAGTGGGTGGAGATAGAGGCTTAAAGAAGAATTATGAGGTCACTGATTTTCACTCAGCCTCATAATCTGAGCCGACCTGTGACAAAGAAACTGTCACAGGTCGGCTCAGTATATCGGGAAGTGAGCCAACACATACCGGCGCCCGCTCACTTCTCGATCCTGTGCGGGCAGAAAGCCGTGACAAGGGAGGGACTAGATTTCCCCATCCCCTGTCCGATCCTCCAGCGCTGACTGGCGAAACTGACGGGGGAGGGTGCGGGTACAGCTGGCTCTGCCTCTAGATAGGCAGAGCCAGCTGTCACTCACGCAGCTGGGTGGATCCAGACATAATTGTCGGGATCCGTTCCGGCTGCGGCGTCTCAGTATACCGCGAGCTGTAGCACGTGGTATATTGAGCTTTGGGTGACGAGAGGATGCTAGTTTGTGTCCTCCTGTTACCCTTAGGAGAACTATGGGGAACAGCCCTAACCCCATAGTTCTCCTTTAACAATGTCCCAGTATTCATGTTTAAACGCTATATTCACTCCCATTAGAATTTCTAAACATTGTTCTTTGAGCAACATTTTAATTAGCATTTTTCCATGATAGTAACTTCAAAGTTAAACTCCACTTTTACTAAAAGAAAAGATATAAAATGCTGCATAATCTTTTTTGTAACTTGGTGTTGTTAAAAATCATCTTTGTGAAAAAAGGGCACTGTGGACCTTGTTTACTAAAGAGCACTCAGAACTCATGTTGTACTGCTCTGACTTCAGAAAAATTATCTCTAACTGATACTGAATTAATAACGCTTTACTGGATAAGGCAGTGTATGTGACAGAACTCCCCGGGAATCTTATTTCCAGCTTGTGTGATTAGCTCAACAATTTTCCCACATATAGAAGGGTTTCAGTTTTGTTTCAATACCGCCAAAGGCAGACATCCCAACCTGCAAAACCTTATTTCAGGGAGGTTCCCGTCTCATTTCAGGGAGGTGCCATTTCTGTTTTTTTGTATAAAATATAAAAATAAAAATATAATTATATACATACATACATACATACATATATATATACACACACACAGAGTAAAATAAAATCCATATACCAATAATACAATAATATTATATATTTATTTATATATACATCAGATTTGTGAATTGATATTCAAGTATCTGTCAGTGTAAAGGTCACAATTTATTAGACAGCCCGAGACCTTTTTAAAAAACCGCTGAGGAGTAAAGTCCCTGATACACAGTTGACTAGTTGCTATGGGCAGCAAATGAAATAAATGTTCTCTATAACTAGACAACCAGGACATATAATTGATTCTATATTATCCACAAAGGGTTAACAGCACTCTCTCAACCCTGCAGCAGTGCCTGTACCTGCTCTCAATAGTAGTCTATGTCCGCCCTCTCTGTGCAGCAAGTAGCTTCTTCCTTCTGAGAGCCAAGCCTCATTCTGAGGCTACTCTAGAGATCACATGACCTTCCCCCAGGAGGCAAGCCTCGTCCTGAGGCTACTCTAGAGATCACATGACCTTTCTCCAGGAGGCAAGCCTCACTCTGAAACCTTACCCACTGATATCTTACCGGAAAGGTTTACTCAGAGTAAACCTTTCAGAGAGAAAATGCCTCTCTCGCGGACATCAGGGAGCCGCTGTCCAAAAGAGGGAGACTCCCTGAACTTCAGGGAGACTTGAGATCCCTGCAAAGGTTTATCCTCCCCAAAAGGGATACAGAATTAGAATTGTTTTTATTTTACAACGTTGTGAATGGGCAGGTGATCATAATGAAGACTACCCTGCCATTTAGAAATCATTGTGAGAATACTCATGGTGGGACAAATGCCAGTTTCTTCAGAAGAGCTGCAAAACCATTTTCT